GCCTACACCGTCAAAAAAACCCCTAAATCTTGGCGGAAAACCCCTCATCTGGCAACACTGCGTTTCTCTGTAGAGATGGATGTGCATCGATGTTTTCAAACATCGGTCACGTCGATGTTTGGCGGGGCGTCATCGATGTTTTCCCATCTCTACTCTGCTTTCCCGCTGCCGCAGCGCTGCCCAAAATTCGTTGTTTTTTAACATAAATGCTGAACTAACATGGGAATTTTATGAAAATCTTGATATTTGCAGACATTGATGTTTTCGATGTTTTTGGCGGAAAAACATCGATGTTTCATCGATGTTTGAAATATAATTTTGTTTTAACAAAACTTTTATTCATATTTATGCATATTGCGGAAAAATATCGATGTTTTCTCAATGTTTAAAATATACTTTTATTTTTACAAAACTTTTATTTATGTTTATTTATATGCATGTTCTTGCTTAAAAGAGGAGATTATCGGCTCAGCGAAAAAAGTCCCCAAATCAATAAGTCCCAATAAACGAAACATGTTATTAAAAATTAGGGAGCATTTTCATAATAGAACAACACACCAAAAAGGAGAAATAAAATAAGAACCCGTTTAGAATTACACTTTTAATTTCCATAGGAACGATCGAATAATTAAGTTTAAAATATACGCAAATAAATCAAAATTTAATTGATTTCATGTATATTGCATTTTGCAATAACTGCAAAGGTATAAAAATTTCGGCTTGCTGAAGATTGCTTCTTTTCTTGTTTTTAATATATTGCAAAAACTCTATTTTTTTATACATTAAAATGTAGTAACTGATAACTGAAAAGCCATTGTTTAATTTAAAATAAATTAGGAACTTCGTACATTTCTAAAAAGTGCAATATAAATAAAAAATAAAAGATAAAAATTCGATCTTGGGATGTTATTTACTTTCTAAATTTCAAAAATAAAAAACAGCATCCTTTTTTGTATAAGGGCCTAATTTGAAATTTTAAATTGGGGTATTATTTAATTATGAGTCTTATTTGCAGCACGCGAGATTGTCCACAAAAGTCGAACATAGTCTTGGTCAGCCTGACTGAATAGCCTTTCCGACTCGCACGAAGGTGCAGGGATGCAAAATAAGTTTTATAAACCCTTCATCCTCTATACAACTGAAATGTTGGACATCGGACAGCTATCTTGTTTATTAGCTTTGGGTCAAAGGTCAAACCTTTGCGAGCAGAGCCATTGCTGCAATGCAACGCCGACTAATATACATATCTATTGCATTTTGAATTTGTTGAATGTTGAGCTTTGGCCTTTTACATATTTACTGCGATCTGGATGTACGTGCCTTATATGGTCGAAATTGTTTGATGTATTGCCAGTCGTCTATATAGATCTCCCACAGTAGTTGCATGTTCCATGCTTTTTTCCAACAGTTCTTTTTAAACAATCGAAACTTCTTGCTTCCTTTTTGGGTCCCGGCTCCTTTAAATTTCCTCTGAATTTAATGTTTATATAAAAAATTATATTTAAAATTGCGATTTCTTGTAAAACTGCAAATGTACGCAAATGCACAAAAGTTCAAGCGAACATAAATAATAAACGCTTATATTAATACAACTTAGTTTTCAGACGTCAGCCGAAGAAACATTCAGTTTTAATATAATATAATATTTATACGGATAAAATGAAAATTATTTCCATAATTACAATTCACATGTCTCTCTTGCCCGCATTTGGATATTTAAAAACTTCGATATTGCCCCGCCAAACATCGACGTAACCGATGTTTTGAAAACTTCGATGACATCGATGTGGGAATCTGTGATTCTCCACCTCTATTAAGCCGTTCGAACTTTTCATTGTCTATTTATTATTTATTATTAACAAAACGGAAATTTTTAAATATATAGTAGTTCATCATATGGGATTAAAGACGTACAATCGACATATCTTTTCAGACATTATATATTTGCCGTACCTTACCTTACCTAGTTTTCAAGATATTCTACAAAAAATATATATATATCTAGGGGTTACTATTTTCTTTCCTATTTAATGGGGAAATTTCTAGCAGAACACATTTTTGCAACTGTTAAGCCACTTTTAACAATAATACTTTAACGCACATCACTATCAAGCGGCTCGATGAAAGCCACTCAAACCGTTTAAACTAAGCCAAGTCGCTTCGAACCAAGTTGTATCCAACCGTAGTGACCCCATCGAGCACTACAGTTAGACCAAGTGCAACAATGAACAAATATAATTAACCTTGAAAAAAAATTAAATGATGCATCAACAAATAAAATAAATCCAAAAGCCTTTGTAAGAAATAGTTATGCAAATATAAAGCTATCAATTAGTGGCAGTGGTACTGAAGAAACATTTTGGCAAGTCAACATTTTGTAAGTAAATTTAAACTACTATTTTACCGATGTATTTCAGATGCAGTGCACAATTTCTATATAAACAGAAAGCAGCCACTTTACGTTTTGTTTATTTATAGCTATTTTCAAATTAAGAAATAACGTCGTCCGCAAATTGCAAGTGTTAATTGCTTACTTCTCTGTAAATCCTACAAGTGGTTCTATAAGAGCCTTTAGGTGCTTTATTCGATGTCTCTGGTCACATCGATATTCTCGATTATCAACAAAAGCTGGAAAGTTAGGGCGGGAAAATATTTATTTAAACTGACCTAGACTTTTTTGTAGAAAATATTTAAGTAGGACTTTTGTAATGACTCAAAAATGTTTAGTTTTGAACCAGGCTTTGAAAGTCAAAAAGCTTACACTCGGATATATATATGGTTTAAAATGAAGCGATTTTAATCATAGATCTATCCTAAAGAAAATAAGACAATATTTGTGTAAACTAAAACTACGGAACAGTTATTGGACCAGTTAAATACTAATAAAAAACATTAAAAAAATTCCTTAGTTTTACATTTTTAAATGCACTTAGTCGGCAAGATTCACCTTTCGTCGTTGACTACTACCTTCTTGCCTCCTTTGGTGTTTTACAACTTTTACGCTGTCAAAGCAGACATTTAAGATAAATTAACATTGGTTTTTAAAAGCAAGAAAGCAGGCACAAGAATGTACGTTACGTATACGTAATGTATATAATCCCCTTACATGTCCAAATTTATTTGCATGTATGTCAAACGCTGTAAATTTCAAGTATTTTCCTTGTCAAATGTCAAACATGTATTTTAAACAAAAATAAAACGTATGTAAATTTTCAGATATTTTTGCTTACCATAAGCACTAGAAAACGAACCCTAAAATGGAACAAAATGTACAGATACAAAGTCCGGCGCTTTAAGGGGAATGTTTCAGAATCAAAGCTAATGAAGCTTAAGTTAAATAAATATATGTTTAAATTTCGGGTTTTGCAAACTTACTATAAGCTTCAGATTCGTACACTTCTAAATTAACTCGACAACGTTTACAACCATTTTAAAATCTAGCCAGCTTTAGATTTAGATATAAAGCTAACTTATTAAGTACCGTCTATTTAAAATAAAGTTAGCTTTTCCCATTTCCAAAATAAAGCTATTACAAGTCAAAAATAACAATGTAATGCTAGAAATAGCAAGGCGAAAAAAGTGTTAGTGTAAAAGCTTAAAGCTAAAGAGGATATTTTTGGGACAACTTATTTAATATCCTATAAAAAGCTTTCGTTATAGAAAAATCAGACTGAGAATCAGGACAAATTGTATTTTATAACTTATAAGTTAGCAATAAAAAGTGGTGAATAACTCGAAGTACATAATTATGGTACCTTTGTTAGCAACTTTCATTTCGTTGTGATTTCCTGCGCGCAATAAAATATAAAAGCTTTCAGGGGAAAATATTCTTTGTGGAACCTGTGTTGTGGATTCCAGCAAACAATAAAAAGCGAGTATAACAGCTTTCAGGGGTTATTCTTTGTGCACACACAGAGAAAAATAATTTTTATAAAATTATAATAAAATTTTTTTATAATTTAACTGCAGTATTAGTTTTACTTATAAATCAATTTAATGTTCCTAATATAGGCAGTAAGCGTCAAAAGTGTTTTTATTTTAACTATTTTAGTATTACTGAAACGTTATTTTACATTGCAAATCAGCTGTTTTGTATCATTATTCCGAGACGAATTTATTATTTTCTTATATATTTTAAAAATATGTAATTATTTTAATGAGAAGTACAAAAAGTAATAGAAAAAGGAACTCACTTTCTTGTTGTTAATCATATACATCTGCTTATAACCAAGATATAGATACATTTTACGATTTCAAAAATACTTTTTTAAGTTTATAAAAATAGGATGACTTTTACAAATCGGCATAACTGTGCATGTTATTTTTTTTTGGTTTCTATGATTCTAGTTTTTTTTGGTATGTACCGTACAAAAAGTTGACTTGGCACCCGATGTAAACGATGTTAAGTCATTTTGCTCTGGAGCTTTAACTGGTCTGTTGCATTTGGCCAACGGGGGGCCTTAACTTAAGCAGCTATTTAATTAATTTTTTATTAATTAATTACCATCTTAAAGTTTTTTTCCTGCTATGCCTTAAAGAGAAACTCTGGGACAAGAGATTTCTCCTGTGTAACAGTACCATTCATATCATATCATTCTTATTAGCAGTGAGATAACAAAACAAACGCTTTCGATGGACCACGTGGTGGTCCACTGCACTATCAACATTTGTTGTCCCTCCTTATTTGTTTACTTTTTCTAACATTCCGGCGAGGCGTGCGCCGTGCTGCTCGTGCTGCTCGGCATTCGATGTCGGTTAGGGGCTAACAGAGTGGCAATGTTAGCACTCGTTTAAGGTCACAGGACCGTCACAGGAGCTGCACAGGAGCTGCACAGGATCTGCTCAGGACCTGCTCTGCTCAGCGGAGCTCAGCTCAGCTCAGCTCAGCAGGAGCTGCTGGCTGGCCTGTTCGGCCTGGCCAGAATGCCCAGCCTGCCGGCACGATGTCGGGCCACGTGTCGCTTCGGAGTCGACAGCCACAGTCAGTTGCAGTTGGAAAGTCGAGCACGTTTCGTGTGGTGCTGTTGTGGTAGTTGGTGGATATTATTTCTGCGGTATCGCATCGCATAGCATAGCATAGCATCGCATAGCATCGTATCGTATCGGTCGGCCTTTGCCTTCGCCTTTGCCTTTGCCGTCGCCTTGTGGCATTGCCTCTGCTATTTTGCTATCACAGCCATTCACAGTCGAGTGCGTGGTCGTGAACGAGTCGGTCGAAGTCACAGCAGCACTTGGTGCCAAAAAAAAAAAAATTAATACAAGGAAATATTACATAGCTAGCACGAACAACAGAGAAAATATATAGAATAAGAAAACGAGAAAACGTGCGAGATTAATATTGAATGTGTAATCAGTGGGAAAAATCTGCAAGCGCGCCGTAAAATGTTTACATGATATATATCAGCCATGCGGATCAACTTTTTTTAAAGGTGTAACATGGAGTTGTTTTTTTTTTGATTCGTTTCTTGTGCCTCGCAGCGCCATGAAACCGTGGCTCGCAAAGTTCCTTGAGCAAGTGGTCAGTAATAAGAGTATAAACATCAGTATTCATGGTACGATTATCCACATGCGTTTGCCTTCATTTTTAGTAAACTAATCAATCGCCGTAGTGTTTTGAAGCAAACTTTTTTGGCCAACCTATTGCAAAATCATTGCCAAGTTAAATTTGGGCAAGTGCGATGAAACAACAACCAACAAAAAATGCAATTTAAAAGGAGCTATACAAAATTCTCAAATCTATGCAAATATGATGACTGGTGAGTATTGACAACAAAATGTGTTTGTTTTTAAAGGGCAACGTTTAAAATGTACATCTTTGGTATCGTTGAAGTTATTTCCTTTTAAAGTAAAGGAAGTGAGCACATCAATTTGAGAAATTGTTGCGTTTCCTTAAACGTGATTTTAATGACTTGACAATTGCCCATAAATTGATAAAATACGGCAACATAGCCTTAACGTTTCCTTTCTGAAAATTTAAAGTCATTTTTTGTCGTTTTTTTTCTGAAGTGCTTATTGCGTATAAGAAAATCACTTTTAAGTTATCCCATGTCAAGTAAACTTAAAGTCTGATGACGAAATATCTACAAAAATTACTGCAATGGATCCTTGATTATATTTAAAAATTAGTAAATTAAAGTTACAGGCTAAAGCCCCAATTACAACTGTGTTACTATATGTGAAACTATATAAATGGAAAAGTTTCAACATTGTAAATATCTAGGTTGATAAACAATACAGACTTATTGGACACAAGAACATTTCTCTTCAAATTAAAATGTGTGTGCCACAGTTAATGGAGTCGGAAAAGTTTCATTCTTCTACCTGTTACATACTTTTGCTGAAAGAGCACCCTTTTACTCTTTGGGCTACTATTATACAAATACAACATGGGAACGTAGCTTAAATGTATTTCTTGGCTGCCATTCATATGCAAAGAACAAAAACAAACAAAAAAGTCAGCTGCGCGGCACGCAAACTGCAAATTTAAGTTCATCTGAACAATGCTGAAATAGAAAATACGAGCAACGCGAAAGGAAGTTGAGTCAAGATTGCTTGTCTAAAAATAAATACGTTAAAAACTATAATTTTAAATGCAGCTAATGGATGAATCCTTTGTTTATAAAGTAATTTAAAAGGGTCAACATAAAGTGTGCCACATTTTAAATTTCTAAAATCTGTTATCTTGGGGTGCGTACATCAAATATTTTAAACAAAATCTTTTAAAAAATTATATATTTTTAAATACATTTGGAAATTAACAAAAGCCAATTTACATTCTTATTGTTAATTTGCTGGTGGAAAGGTTCCGAGTCGACAATATATTGAATCATAATTATAAATATTTTAATTGCATAATCAGGGGGGTCCCAGAAATTCTAAAAGACTTAAGGCATCGTAACAAATTAATTAAATTTTGGAAATTTATGAACTTTTGGAACTTTGGTATTATCAAATTCTTAAGCTGCAGCAATAATTATTTAACTCACGCGATATTTCGTATTTTAATGTGCAAAGTGAGACAATTACAAATGAAAAGTCAAAGGTAAGTGATAAAAGAAACGTGCTTAAGTTTTTATTATTTGTATTTAATTAGTTTTCTTCCAAATACGTATTAATGCTGCTGGCTGCTGCTGCTTTATTTTGGCTAATTATTGCATGGCTCAGTGGATTTAGGGAAATTAAACGGCACTGGCACCTTAGCGCAGAAAATCATATTAAAAGCAATTTCTGCTTTTGGCATCAAAATTAATTAAGTTCCTTTTAAGTAAATTCCTTTTGGTGAACTTATGTATATGTGCAGGAACTATCAAAGGACTATTGACAGTTTAGAAATTTTAAGAAATGTGTTGTTTAATGTGAAACTCAGTAAAATAATTAGGTCAACAAACGAAGGGATTAAGGTCAAAAAACTATTTATTTTTAAGATATATTAAATGTTTTTAAGGTTTGTTAAAAGAAACAACAAAGATGCAAACTTCGACAACCCAAGCTTATATGTATATGCTGATTAAAGGGCTATACCAGTGTAACCCAAGAAAAATAGATAATTTTTGGAATTTTTTTTTAATGAAAGTACTTAATAGAATGTCATAAAATTGTGAAATCAAAAAATTCAAAAAGATTATGAAAGCTAAATATATTTCCCCTAAAATGACAAACAATCTTTAAAAAATATTAAATGGTGAAAAAATTACTTTTTAAATTCTGACAAATGGACAATTTTCAACCAATCAAAAATTGTAGGTAAGACCCATTCAAGATGATTGAGTCTTAATTTCAAACCGATCGTTTAACTTAGGCGAGTTATAATTTCAGCCGTTTTCAAAAATGTAGTTTCAAGATAAGCGCGTTTAAAGTTTCAGGTGCAGCGGTGTACATTACAGAGGATTACAAATTTCAAAAAAAGTTAAATTAAATTAAAAAAAAACCAAATTGAATTTTACACAAGTAGGCCATTGGAAAAAGTAGGAATATAAGAATAATGAAGACTAATCTTCGCATGGTTAAAACTCAATAATAAAATAGCTTATTGGGTTATATAGATTTTAAATTGTTTTGGAAAAACTAAATTTTACCATATTGTTGGACATAGACTTGTTTGTACTTCATGTTGGGTACAAATTTCTTTATCAATAATAATTTTATAAATGGGGACTATACCCAAAATTTAAATTTTTAAGTAGTTTTAAACTTTTATTTGGATTGATAATCAGTATTGGACAATTTCATTATTTGGATGTGGGTTAATCAAAAACTAAACGAAAAATTAAGGTAACTTCGGCAATCCGAGGTTTATAAACCCGCTGTGAAGAAGGGCCGGCAAGTTAATATTAAACAGTCATTTACTACAAAAGTTAAAATTCAAGTGAAATCTCTGAAAATATTTAGCTCTGATAGAAAAACTCACCTGGTTCTGGACTTCATTTGTACTTAACAAATTTGAAATCCTCAACAAAGTGAGTCCATTTTGGGTAAGGACACTGTATATTTGATCTGCGACAAGAAATATTTTATATTTTTGCACCAAAGACTTTTTTCTTATCAATTAAAATTTAAAATAAAATATCTCTCTTTATTTTCATGCAGTTTTATAGCTGCTCGTATTATTAAACCGCCCAATATATGCTTGATTAGAATATAGCTCTCATAGCATAACATAAACATATATATTAAATCCCTTTCACTTTTCGCCCGACTTATAAGAATCAAATCGGTTTAAATTTGGTAGAAATTTAATTAATCCAAATCAAATTTGCAAGAAAACCGTAGACGGATAATTTCCTCATTTTTCCTCATCTGTATAAAGACTCATCTTCTGATGTCCTAATATAATTTGTATTATCCCACATTAGTTATCTAAAGTTACCTGTTCATAGTCAACCGTAAAATAACTAATATCTACATTTTTTCAGAACGGAACGATTTACTAAATTTTTGCGGCAACTATAAGTACTTGGAGAAAATATGGACTCCCTTAAAAGTAAGTAAACAATAATTTATAAAAATAAATTAGTTTGTCATTAATTATAATTTCTAAAAATTTGTTATAAAGGAAAAATTCCAGAATTTTAGAATGCTGTAGAAGCGGAAAAAAATAATACCGGAATAAATTCTTATCAATTAGTTTATTATTTTTATTATTTGTTTGTGTTTTGCTCTAGTTTTTAAATTTTTAAGATTTGAGTCCATTCTAAATCCACTTTGATAGATCAGTTTTCTGAAATACGAGTATATGCAAAATGTCTCATGAAATTTATGGCAAAATCGTATTACCAAAATTTAGCTTAAACCATATGCAAATTAAAATCAAGTTTTATATGATTTTTTATTTTTTATTTTGCTTATATAAGCTATAAAAAACCAAAAATCCAGGCAAGAACTCAGATCTTGATTGTAACATTTTCCAAATTGTTTTTTTATTTTTATAAAAATAATAGCAAATGGGTCGAGCAAATATAAATTGCTAAGGCAGGAATCACAAGTCAGAGGAGAAATTTCATCGGGTGAGTATAGCTTATCCGTTATGCATTCATTTCCTGCACTAATTAGCATAGTTTTTTTATTTTATTAGCGTCAACTGAGATAGTCATGATGCAAATTGATCTGCTTCATTTTTGTGCTGATCAAAAGGATCCTTAAATGTTGTAAAATGTGAGCAAGTTAGGGCGTGTGGAAGCATTTCAAGGGCTCAGAATTCGGGCACTTTATTGGCGGTCCCTGTGGCTAATAAAAAAAGGGATAACAAGTGACTTAAATGCTTGCGGTCCTTGCAAGACGGAGGAGATTTGTCCTCGGGTGAGATAATAATATCACACCCAAGTATAAACATAAACCGCCAATATTTATTACCATTTTTATTTTCAGGTGTTGCAGTAGGCCATTAAGGAACGCGGCGATAACAAAAGACCAACAGATGGCTATTATTGTCGTGATCCTTCAGTTAAGTCAGTTCTTTTGAGGGACTGCGTTTGATCTCGGTATTTCTAAGCTACAGATAAAAGAAAATTAAATCCGAATGTATATATAAAAACCAATGTATTGTGTTTTAAATAAATGTAACATTTTAAAAGTATATTATATATGGATACTGTCTTTGTAAACTGTTTGCAATTTCATCATTAAAGCCAAACACGCTTTTGAATGTTTTAGATATACTATACTGAGTCAAAATATAAGGTCAATCAAAAGCCAATAGTTTGACTTATATCACCATATTTGCATATAAAAAATACGTCATAATTCAAAAGACACTCTATTTAAGTTAGTTTATCTTAATCTTCAATGATGGGTTTTTTTTTTTGAGGAGTAGATATATTTAACTAACTGTTACCAACAGCCAAAATGTAAAATGCTTGAATATATATTTCTATATCGGATATATTTTCTATAATATAAATACCTATCAATTTAAATGATATAATCAGATATTTGAATCTTAATTGCGTTTAATAATATATTAATATGTTTTTTTACAGCCTGTCAAAAATGTATCGCTGTATAAATATATTCCGAAATTGTTGGGAATAAGTAGGGATTGTACAATCAAAGCTGAGAAAGTATATTGGACGGAAACTAATTCAGAGGCGAAACAATATGAGTAATAAATCAAAATCAGAAAGCTAACGAAAAGCATTAGATTAGAAGAAAGTCAATGCCGCCAAAAAATTGGTCGACTACACACGAACAAGTGCTCTGAACAGTGGCTCGAAATTCAATTACCGGCTGCCTGGGGAGTTCTACACATCGACGGAAGCAACTAACCGAACCGGACCCCAAACAATATGCGAAACTATGGAAGTGAAGTGAACGGAGGTTGAGTCTTACGGGATACCTTCTGCGCCCATTCATCTGTCAACGGTCTGGCGCTGTTCCTGATTATCGGATTCCAAGGGTTAAGTAAGATATGAGGAAGCAATCACCGAGTCGACTGGACAATCTACTCTGCCCTAGTCAGGAATCAAACATGAGCTTCCCACAGCCGCACACATTGCCGGAAGCGCCTGCCAACGGTGGTAAAATGCTGGTCTATGGCCTGGGACTTCTAATTATGATACCAGGTTGGTCTCTATGCTAATCCTCACTTCCAAAAAAATAACAACAAATATAACAACTAATTCAAATTATTTGCTTAAATTATTTGTCATATATTTTTTTTTGTTGAGTTTCAAAACTATAGATAGTTTGAATATCGTTTAAGTCATAGAAAGTAATCGATATTATCGATAGTTGCGAAATAAGAATATAATATATTTATATATAAAACTCAATTTTAATTTTATTATAGAAAATACTTCTGTTAGTTTAGATTCAGTTTGTAAAATAACAAAATCAATAACAAGCTTAAATCTTGAGCTGAAATCTTAAATATCGTTAAGACCATCGATAGTTTTGCAGCTCAATTTTTTTAATCTTTCTTGAAACTGCAAACAATTTTAAGTCTAGCCCTTACAATATTTATAATTTCCAACAAACCTGTTTTAAATTCTCATCAAATTAGATGTGTATACAACATAACATTTATTTATTATGGTAATTTATTTATTTTTTTTCGCTCTTTAAAAAAAAAAAAGCTTGTACGGCTGGACCTCATGAGAAGCGGTTGCTACACGCCCTTCTGGACAACTACAACAGCCTGGAACGTCCGGTGGTCAACGAATCCGATCCATTGCAACTGAGCTTCGGACTAACACTCATGCAGATTATAGATGTGGTTAGTTGGGATTTCTACATACAATTTAATCTGATATAATTTAATAAGTAGTAAGCAATATTAAGTGCTTATTTTCATACTTGTACAATTATGATGTTTAAAAAAACTTCGTCATTGATTTTTGTATATGTTTTGTTTTGTTTGTTCAGGATGAAAAGAACCAACTGCTGATAACAAATATTTGGCTCAAATTGGTGAGTTATTGCCAAGTTAAGCATTACCTCAAGACTATTTAATATTTCTTTTATTTATTTCATTTAGGAATGGAATGATATGAATCTTCGTTGGAATTCCAGTGAATTTGGCGGTGTACGAGATCTGAGGATTCCACCACATCGCCTATGGAAACCGGATGTTCTTATGTACAACAGGTAAGATAAATTATTATTAATTACTGTGTTGTTTGGTCGTTACTTTTCTTTGTTATTTATTATTCATAATTAATTAGTCATTGTCGCAGGATACTCCAGTATAGCCATCTTAATCGTCTTTTTTCAGTGCGGATGAGGGCTTTGATGGAACGTATGCCACAAATGTAGTGGTGCGCAACAATGGAAGCTGCCTATACGTACCCCCGGGTATATTCAAATCTACATGTAAGATCGATATTACGTGGTTTCCATTTGACGATCAAAGATGTGAGATGAAGTTTGGTTCGTGGACCTACGATGGTTTTCAGGTGACTATAGCAATACAAAAAATATATAGAATTTTTTAGGTGTTTTTGGATCTTGGTAAGGTACACGGTCTGCGAAAATATATATGTACTTAGGTAAGGTAAAAGATGCACAATTTTTCAAGTATCTCGGTAAGGTAAACGGTTCGAAAAAATTAAAAAATTACACACACTTATTTATTAATTAATTTTTTTTAATGAATAATAGGTTCTTCTCGTAGTTGAAGTGTAATTGAGGTACTTTTTATAGGCTCTGGCAATGAACTCTGGTTGTAGAAGAAACATCATAACTGACAGTTTAATTATGCTTTTTTTAATTAGCATATTTGCAAAAATAATTAAAATTTGACTTTAATGGCATTAAGCTTACTTGAAAAAAAAAAAAAAGTATCAGTACGTAAATACCTAACATTGCTGGTTCTTAAGATTAATAAAAATTTTTACCTACACTCAGAAAACGAAATTTCGTTAATTTTTGGACAAAATTGACTTAAAATTAGGAATATTTGAATAGTTGCCATACAAAAGTTAGGAAAACATGACCTAAAACGAATTTTTAGACAATAATTTCCTTGGGGTTCGCTTTAGGTATTGTCTTTCTAAATTTTGTATGAAAGGCTCAAATTTTAGGCCAGAATTCCTTATGTTAAGGCAATTTTCCAAAAATCAAGGAATTTAGTTTTCTTAGTGTAGGTATGGTGAAAGGGCGGCTAAAATATTTTACCTATAGGTAAGGAACTGACAACACTGTTTAATGCTTCACTATTACTTTGTATGATAGAACTTTACCCTAATCATGCATACTTTTATTTATTTGGAATTGTTGCATGTTTCTGTTTGACAGTTGGACCTGCAATTACAAGACGAAGCTGGAGGAGATATTTCCAGCTTTATAACAAATGGTGAATGGGACCTGTTAGGTAAGTTAAGTCTTCTGCAAGCGAAGCCCAACTCTGTTCAAAGTCATTGATTAAATTCATTTAAGCCTCAATGCTATTTAAATATAATTTATTAATTTCAAATAAAATATTTTCTTCTCTACTCCATCCACCAATCATGTGTCAATCACCCCATTTACTTAACTATACAAACCCAACAAACAACAGGTGTGCCCGGTAAACGAAATGAAATCTACTATAATTGCTGCCCAGAACCTTATATTGACATAACATTCGCCATTTTGATAAGACGCAAGACATTGTACTATTTTTTCAATCTGATCGTGCCGTGCGTACTGATTGCCTCAATGGCACTGCTAGGGTTTACACTACCACCAGATTCTGGTGAAAAGCTTTCGCTTGGTAAGTGTCGTCCAGTTGTTCTGGCCTGATTTGATCTCCCTCTGCCCTTCTATCTCTATCTCTGTGTTCACGAATTGAATTATTACTAAGCAAAACTAAACCAAAACAAAACAAACTAAAATAAAACAAAACAAACGTATACCGGTTCGAGTTTAGAACGAAGAACGAAATGAACTTTATTACCTAGTAGTCAACAGATTATGCAAATTAAAAGTGCTACCTTCTTTTACTTCTTGTTTGCTTTTGTTCTTAGACATGCTAATGCATCTGAAGTATCTATTGAAATTTAATGTAGAAAACTTTTGCATGCTCTGCAACTCATTCTAGCCACCAAACTGCTCAAAAGATTTCTTCCTTATGTTCCTATCTTAGAATATTTCACCATGCTAATACAGCAAAAACTGTGGGCGGTGTGAAAATTATTTGATATCAATGGAAGCGTTCGATTTTTGCATTTATTGTTGTTGTACCCGGTATCCGTATACTTAGAAGATTCGTGAAAATCTGTGTAACATAAGTGAGGAAACGATTCCGTCATTATTGATTTATTTACATTTAACGTGTTACTAACATTTTTTTAAAATGTTTTTTTTTTACGAGCCTTGTATAAAAAAAATAATACCAATTTCACAATTTTTAAAGCTAGTCTCTAGTCTTTCAGTTTTGTAACTTATTTTCTGGTTAGAAGTTATTATAAAGGTAAAATAAAAGTTGGAAATGACTAAATAATGTGCGATGATGTAACTATTTTAAAACCGTATTTATACGGTTCATGAGTCAGAATTGAACTGAAATTGTTTTTTTATCGCACAGTTGCAAATAAGTGATTTCGAATTGGCTTTAAATTAATAGTTCATATAAATTAGTGTTCAAATTTTGTAAAATCAAAATTGAATGCCTTGAAATACGAATCGTTTCCATCTTCCTGATGCACACATTTACACGAATATTATACATGACATGTACTGAGTATCAAAATGATCTTGAAACCCGATATGCGAACTTTAAGCTAGTAAAACTTGCATTGCTAAAGTGGGGCTGAGGTTCAGTGCAGAAAATACGGTAGTAGTTTTTTATTGACGGCAACGAGAAAGTGCTGAATGGATGCGAAAGTCCTGGCCAAAACATTGGACATGCAAGGCAGCTTGGTCGCAAATGCCGGATCGTCAGGAGCGGAATCCGCAGGATCACTGGTTCTTACAATAATATTTTGTTACCGTAATCGTAATAGTGCACGTACTTAATGTGTAAATATCATGGGAGAGTGCCTTATATGAAAATGACTAACAACATTCAATTTAATCTCAATTCCATGCCGCTTCTGTTCGTTCGTCCTGCCCACATGTTAAATCCAAAAACCGAAATCGAAAAACCGAAAACCGAAAAATCGACTGCTCTTCATCTGTGTGACTACCGAAATAAATCATTGAGCGGCGCTTATCCTTGTGTTGCCCACTTTCAGGAGTTACAATTTTATTATCGCTTACAGTCTTCCTGAACATGGTGGCGGAAACAATGCCGGCGACCTCTGATGCAGTGCCCCTGCTCGGTAAGTACATCGTGGCCAGAAGTAATGCCAATCCACCAACCAACCAATCTACGTCTGACTAAGTTTCTAAACTAACGCACTCTCAACTCATTCAGCAATCATCCAAGATTCTTCTTTCCGCACAGCTTTGGCGTCTCAACGTTCAAATAAAAAACATCACTAATTTTATCTTTTGCCCTTCTTTGTAAGAAATTATATCTTTGTGAATTGGGGCACACATAAAGGGCTAAAATTTAGCTTCCCAAAATAAAGAAACCACAATCATCGGTATCCCTTTAAAAAATAAAAGTAACCTTACCAAGCACAAGCATAAATACATACCATCATTAAAGTAGAAAAAAATAATGAAATAAAGGCATGTTATTTTTTGTTATGTATTAAAGTGGCATGTTGGCATGTTACGCACTTTTAATACAACAAATTAAAATAAATAAATGAAAGTTTTTTCTTTTAAACACATGTTTTTTTTATGTTGATAGACACATGTTTTCTTAAAGCTCTTGCAATTTATTTAATGTGTTATCTACTTAATATGAAATCCGGTCAGATTCTTTAGTTTATATTATTCACAAGCTTATTTTAACCAAAGATATAGTTATGTTCCCCGTACTCAAAAGTTGAAATAGGAGCAAATATATGCAGTGACGGCAGAGAAAGTAGCCTTGATCATTTAAAAAGAGTTTATTTTATCCAAAAAAAAGTATTTGCATCATATACGTGTGTATGTAAGTGATTTTATAATGATGGTGATTATAATATTTCATATGGTCAGGAATGATTCCTTCATCCCATTCTTCCTACAATACCTGTTTGATAAAGTAAAGTTTTCCATGACAGTTGTCTTAATTAGTCTTAGTATTTTGAATATTCTTGGCTCCGTCGAAATACGACAATAATTTATAAAAGCTAAAATCATGTTTCAACTGACTTAAACTGATCAAAAACAAAGATTAGTTTAATTAAAACTTCTTCCCAACCCAAAGCCATTCACTGCTGGTCCAAATTTTCGGCTACTGTCTATAATTATAAAAATTATGATTTCATTTTTAAACTTTACAATTATTTTATAATTTATATTTTCTAAAAAAAAATATATGGAAAATTTAAGCAATTAATGAAAAAGAAAATAATAAAAAAAAGTATTAATATTCAAGAAGATGTTCATTTTTGTCCGCTATTAAAGCTATTTCTCCCAGCACCCCACTGTGCACTGTAATATAACCGAGTACCACACGCAAATAAAGTCACAATCAAGAACAATTTTATGTTGCTTATTTTATTAAAATGTTATTCAAATAAAATGTGTCTGTAACTTTTTTATTTTGAACAGAAGAAGGACAACAAAGTTTCATATTTTTAGTATAACAATATTAAATACGGACACATAAAGTCAAGTGTTGGTCTATTTTGTTTCTTTGATCGAGTATGGGGTAATTCTTTCCAGTCATTAAGACTAATATACCTATTGTTTAACATTTTTGATTTTCTCTGCATGTCAATTAACAAGTTAAATCTTACTCCTGCACATTTTGATACCTTTTACCACATATTTTCATTGTACATGTATATTTACTATGCAAGGTCCAAGCAATCAAAGTAAAACAAGCCAAAAACATAACTCAAAAACACAACTTTCTGAATTAATATAATAGTTTTATGAAAATTTGAATATTTGTATACCTGTTGTATGCAGCCGAAGTAGAAATATTTTGTTATAAAACTTAAAAAAAAAAAAGAAAATTGGCAGGGAGTTTTATTTTATGTACGATCTTTGAGATCAAGCGGAAGATCTTTGGTTTTGTGTATTTATAATTTTCAAGTATTATATTTATATTTTTGAGTATTGTATTGTTATATTTTCAAGTATTTTTTCTTAACCATACATACAACATACATTAATGTTTTTCATTTGTGTGAACTCATTTGGGACATTACAAGTCTGACAAATTCGGATTATGATGTGTTAATTTATTGTCCACGTTTTTGTTTAAGACTTTGTATTTTTCTTTCAATTATTTGCTTTTTGTTTAAGCCAGTGAGATTTCCCCAAGGACCACTACCACATAATGTATGCGAAAAAATGTTCTTGTTGGCATGAAGGAACACAAATGCCCGCCTGACTTTTCCATACGTCAAGCATCGACAGAGGGTAATTGGTTTCCACAAAACGAAACCGATTGAACCCTTTCTTACCACGCAATATACACACCTCAAAACATAATCACTCACACGTATATAAACTAACACGAATATGACCACACAGTTGTAAATTGATACCTATATATTTCTGTTCTATACATCTGCGTCACAAAGTGCAAAATTAAACTTAGAGATATAAAATAACTGAAATAGGAAGGGATTTAAGGGAAGCCAGAAAACGGAGCTAGTCTGGAATTTACAACGTTAAAGGTGGCAGAATTTCCACATACATGAACTCAAGTGAATCTGTTTGAATTATCTATATGTTTATTTTCCTTCTTTGCCCAACTTTTCCGATACTTTTTGGTAAAGTATTTCTTTTAAAATCTCTTTTATCTATAAATCTAAGAATCTAAGAATTATAAATCTAAGAATCTTCATTTAGCTCGAATAAAAGAATTCCGAATTTGTTCTATTTAAACGGGCTAAAAATTTAGAATAAACTGGTTCTCGATTTAAAATCTCTCTAATTTACGAGTAAGGGGAATTAAAATGTTTTTGGAAACTTAATTTGTTGTTGCCTCTCAGAAGATCAACATAATAATATTTGTAAGTTTTAAAATTTATTAATAGATATACAGAAAATATTATCTTCGGCCTGTCGAAGCTAGCTTTCTTTAATGGGTTTTATTTATTTTTTTTTCAAGGTCGCAAACACATACAATATGAAAATAAAAAAATAAAATATAAATAGAATTCAAAACGAATTAAAGCAAAAGAAATTCTGCTCGATTTTTTTCCAAATAAATTGATCTGTATCTGAGCTTTTACAAAATTCATCACTATTTTTGAAAGATGGGAAATTCCTTTTGTAATCGTGAAAAACTACTATAATTGGATTTGTATACAATTATATAATATCAAGAAGGGTCTATCTCATTTCATTTTCAAAGCATTGGTTCATAAGGGAAAACCAGCGATACTTTTGAGACTAATAATTTTTAAATAAAGACATTCAAAATTCTTATTAAAAAAATATATATAATAGTGGTATGACTATAATCAGGTTTTGTCAATAATACTTCGTAGCAAATAAATGACAAAAAAACAAAAAAACTTCATTCGGCAGCAGAAATACCAGTCAATTTTTGAACGGAGATTTAATTTCTGAAAGCATTGGTAATATGTAAGCGAATCGAATCTTTACATCCTTACATTATTTTTTGTTCCACAAAATGTGAAACGTCCCATAATTGTTTCTGGATTTAATTATTTTTAAAAACGTTATGCGTACTCAAAATTTTGTAACTTAAGATGACAGGTCGTTTAAAAATTTCGCAATATGTTCTTGTTATTTTTCTATAAAAAGGTATACAAATTATCATTGGCTTTAGATCGGAATGCATTTAAAACTTAATTACTCGAAACAAGTATTTAAGTTAGTCGGTAAACATTCGCCTGCAGTGATAAAACTCGATTATATTTATTAAATTACATTGTTTTTAGTTTATTTTTCAATTTTGATTTTATAATTCAATATAACAAGCTTCTAAAATGAACTTAGCATAGTGCACGAATATAAATTTATGTATGAAAATACAACAAAAACAACTGTATAAGATAAAAGGGGTAAGTGAGCCTTTTATCATGTGTTCATCGGCATACATGTATGTTTATTCGTGCACATAGAGAAAATATTATTTAAAAAATTATACGTCGCTATTTACATGTTTTTTTTTTAATTTATGGTTTCTTATTTTATTTTTTTAGTTTCCCAATTTCAGCAATGTTTGGCTGAATCCTAATAAAATAAGGTATGCTAACAAACTATACAAACTCTAAATATTCAATCACGCGATCCAATTAAAATCATAAAAAAATATTTGTGTTGGTGTTTTTGTGCATACTATTTTTTTTTCTTAAATGGTGGTATAAATTGAATTTTACTTGGAAGAAGCATGCCCAAGCAACATTTAATTCAATATTAGCATCTTGCCATTTACAAAATTTGTAATGTGCGTGTCGATTATGATCCTGTCCAACTTTTACCATGAACATATTACTTAAGTACAATAGATTTTACAAATAACCTAAAAAGCTATTTTCTCATTGTTGAAATTGATTAATTTCATCAGTCATTCCGTTACAATTGTTGCAACTCAGTCATTCAAAAAAAAAAAGCTCTTCGTTAGTTCGTTATGTGTACTTATTTCAAAATAGCTGGGAGAAAAAAAGGTTCGATTCCCACTGCTGCCGAAAAACCTTTTTTTTTCAGTATTGCTGCTATATGCATAGTATGCTTGATATTGTACCTAAACAACTTTTTAGAAAACGTGTGAAATAAAGATGACCGTAAAGCCTTTAATAAAGTTCAAACTGCACGTATAATATTACATAAAAATACAATTTTAATATTAATATAAACAAAGATCTTTCACTTTACCAAAAGCGCCTTCTATCTCTAAAATGGCAGCACGAGTACATTCTTTCTAAAATCAAATAAGCTTATTTTTACTTATGGTTGTATAAAAGCTATTCCATTACATAAGTTTCCAATTTTAAAACCCTTGCAGATAATGCTAGGAATTTTGACACAAGTCATAAAAATCAGTTGTTTTCTACAATTTCAGCAATAGGTTTAATGCCAACAATTTTAGCAGAATATAAAAAAAGTTTCCTCGCGTTGCAAAGTTCCCATAGAAATACGATCTTGTAGGATAGAAAAGTTAAATATATGAGTTGACTATGGGTTTAAAAAGTTCATTGGAATGCGAGCAAAATTATGTAACAGGTGGAGGAGGCATATCCGACTCTATAAAGTATATGTATTCTTAATCAGCAGTCGTGTCTGTCCGTTTGATCAACTAGATATCGGGAACTAGTTTGTTTTAAAATTTGGCCATGACGCATGTCAATACATTTCTATTTTACAATGGTTTTTTTTTGTCCGAAATCGTTTTAGGTATTTTAGGTGGGAAATATGTGTCGTAAGAAAATGGTGAGGACCTAATTTCTTAAAGACAGGCACTCGAATACTTGTTTTTAGGTATTATGTAGTCAATACATATTAAGATTATCGCAGATTATTTCTTCCACTGACATTTTTGTGTTGTCTTTTTAATTTTGGTTTACTGTTCTGACTCTTCAGTTTAATTACGTAGTTGTGTGGTAAAGCAAAAGCACAAATACTTTTACTGTGTTACTTTCCATTCTTTGGGCAACTCATTCTACCAACTAAATTTCTCCACAGTATTACACACCATAGGCTCTAGAAGATTAACCCTCACACATGTAAATAAACCAACAACAAAATATCGTATAACTCTCCCAGACAACAAAAGTTTATTAAACAAAAGTGTTGCTTTAAAGAAATTTAAGTAATTATTTTGTTATGCTATATCCTATTAACTGGTATTGAAATTCTGCCAACCTTTTCCGTAAATCTATATATCTCAAAAAGCATTTCCCTCCGGGAACCATATAAATCATAATGGGCATATAAACATGTGTTATTGACGTACCGTCCGTAATCTCGTAAATATAGAGCTGGGAAAACATCGATGTCTGGTACCATCGGTGTTTTCGATTTTTAACTTTAAAAACATCGAGGACGGTTCTTTTAAAGTTTGGCATATAAATGATTTCCATTGTAAACGTTCGTTTACCCACCCAAAGTTTTTCTTAAACAAAAGGGTTGAGTAGCGGATATCCTACAGACAGGGGAACCCGACTCGTAATTCTAGATTTGTTTAAATTAGGTAGACAGAAAATAAAAGAAACTATTTTGTTTCATAGAAGAAATCGCCATAGATTCTGAAAAAAATAACTCCTAACCTGATTTGCTGAAATTCCGGAGCCATATCGCTTTTATCTTAGACTTCCTTCTATTTTTTTCAGCTTGTAGCTTTCTGGTCTCGTAAATCAAATTAGTTCCGAAAAACAATCGATGGTTCCAAAACAAAATTGATTGATAAAATATTTCAATATTTTAATTGAAAGTGCCATCCATGGTTTTCCAGCTCTGCTTCTATTTTTTTGTTTTCCTTTTAACTACATATTCCAATTAGAAAAAGTAAAAAAAATTAAAAAAAAAAATTTTTTTCGGTATTGAACCCCGAATTCTTTAGTTTTAAAAGCCATTTGGTTTTCAACTTTAGGGCAAATTGGATTAAAAATAAAGTTTTGTATTTTTATACATATGCCAAAATATATTTGTTTTGTTGTATTTTATAGCAAGTGTTTGCATACTTTAGAAAAATGTATTTTTTAAGTATACTTGAAAGAATATTTGCAATTCATACGCTTAGCAGAACGTGTGTGCCCCAAGAAACATATTCGCCAAAATTGAACGCCAATGTCATTTTTTTTGAAAAATACATTATAATGAATCCCCATTAAAAATCAAAAAATCAGGCCGCTTCAAAATATAATATGGCAATATTTTATTGAATAACATATGGCGAGTTAATTGTAGAGTGAAAAAATTAAAAAATGTAGAATACCTACAGCATCCGTTTCTAGCAAATCCATTGCCACTTATTTCTTCATCAATGCGCATAATACAAAAAACAAATGACATTTAACATTAACTTTAATCAAAACGCTTTAACTAAGCCAATAAATATCATTTAAATAAAATTCATAAATGCCGTCATCCAAATCTAAACTCCCACATTAACTTACTACAACAACATGAAAAACAAGATCAAGAACAATGAAAACAACGTACCGTATGGAAAATGAACACAGACAAAGTAAAATATATTCATAAGTCTAAACTGAAAATCAACTATTAAGAAAATTACCAATTAGATCTCGATTTTTAAAATAACATGATGATTGCGGATAATTGGTTGTACACTTAATGACGAAAAAATGGTTGACATCACTCTCCCCCAGATTGAAGGCGATAGCTTAGAACTGAGGCAGCTAAACGAGTAGTTTAGTTCAAATGCCGAAACCGACCTCCAACTATACCTATGTATGTTTAGATACCCAAATGTCCAGCCAAATACTGGAGCTGGAGGACGCTTTGAATCGATCTACAATTTTGGGAATGTCAGCCACTGATGAGTTTTGGTTAGTGGATGCCATGAGGGTCAGTGGTGAAGTTTTTACTTAATTTTTTTTATCGAACAATCCTTAGTCAGAAGACACTTTCTTCAATATACTAATACACGCCCAATTTATCATTCAAAAGTATAAAGTATAAAGCGCACACTGTAAATGTTTTCTCTCGCGAAAGTAGCATTTACGATATTTACTCATCCTTAAAATGTCTCAAAAGTGACTTCTCTTTTTCACTTGTCTGTATCAATGTGTAAAATGAGGTCTAAAAGTTCGCTAAAATTCCGCGGCAGACCTTAATACATTTTTTTCGTATTTCGCATTTTATTTTTTCCGCGACACTGAAATTTGAAGAGTGGGTTATACACACAACCAGGTGGGTAGGACTTTGATAATAATTTAATGCTGTTTTTTTCTCAAACAAAATGTGCAATATGCCTTTTGTTTACAGCATATTCAGCCCTCATTCAGTTTACGATTTGCGGACAATAAATTGGTACCTGTTCCCGTTTCCGAAAAATTATTAAACAGTTTCTAAAAAAAAATTCAAATGCTTCGAAAACATTTCGAAGAATATGAAATCTGAATTCTTAATTATCAGCGTATCTAAAGCGCTAATCTTAAATTAAATGTAGTTGTAAATATGTTTTTACATTTAAACGAAATTAACATTTCTTCGTTATTTTAATCGTAGCTTTCGGAGTTAGAAATCCTACTTGAAATGATAATGATGCACTTTTTTAAGAGCCTTAAAAATAAATAATGTTCTTTTAGGTCTAAAAAAGTTATTTAAAAGTTTTCTTATTTTATAGAGCTACAAAAGTTGAATATTTGAATTTCGTGCTAGACTTGACCAAATCTTCTCGTAACTTTTTGTCATGGAAATGGGATGACCCTATTTTACCTGGCAAATATGCTTTTTGATTTCAAAGGCAACATTAAAATTGAATATAATAAACTACAATATATATTTTTCTACAATTTAGTACTTTAAGTTGTATGTAATCAGAAATGGGAACAGGTGGAAAGAAAACAAACAAAAGCACTTTAGCGAACACTAATGCAAACACACCCACACTAATATATATCTTAATGCGTGATCGATTAGGAACTAGGTTAAGAAAATTCTAAACAAACCGAATAATTTTTACAAGTTTGTGTAATTTTTGTGTCCTTCTAGGAACTTATTTCAATTGCATTATGTTTATGGTGGCCTCATCAGTTGTGTCAACCATACTTATCCTCAATTATCATCATAGAAATCCAGATACGCATGAAATGAGTGAATGGGTAATATTTTTATATTCAAATTAACTTTACTACTTTCATACATTGTAAAAATAAAACCAAAACAATATAATTTCCCTTCCACATGAATCACAACATACTGATTATGTTTCAAATTGTTGCATTATTCCACTGCTAAACATTTGTATATTTATTGTTTGTTACAAATGTGTTTTGGCTTACCAAAATAAACGAATCATTTTAAATCTATTTAATTGTAAATATCTAGGATACCAATAATAAAAACATAAATTTGCATTAACCCATATTTTTCGCTCATCTAGACACCCAAACTCAATTACACCAATTCAATTCACCCAATGACTTGCAAGATATACTCAACCAAAGCATGAGAGACCGAAATTAAATTACCTATCTGTATACATATGTCTTCAACAATATTTCACTTAACTTACTTAATAATAAAAAAAGGTTCCTACCCAAAAAAGTGTCCATACACACATATATGAACAAATTCTAGCTTATACACTTAAGAGTTTTAAACATATTGATTACTGAATAGGCAAGTTCAAGCTGTTCAAAATTGTAAGTCCGCTTCAATAGAACAGACGACAACTATGTTAGATAAAATGGTGAGATTTAAGGTATAATTTGTAATGCATAATTTTCAAAAAGGACTTTTAAAATTTGCAGTTATAATCAAAGCAAAGAAATCTTAAATATCAGCTAATAAATAGATTTGGTATGACATACCAATACAGCAATTAAATACTGCACTTATACGCCTGGACAAATTTCAAATAAAAATGTAACTAAAGTAGATTGTTGGTTAATAACAAGTCACAAAAGCTTATACTAATGAGACAAGTATTTGCCACCCGAAAAACTGAACTACTGATTCATTTTTATTTACAAACAAGCCGAGCGTATAAACGCAGTAACAAAAGTATATTCATGTGTATCTATGAACGTTAATTTTTATATTGAAATTAATTAATAATACGCAGATTTTCTACAAATAATAAATCTAAACTCTACGAATTAGCACTTAAAAATGCGTCGTTTTAACAAGTGCGCACTTACATTATTTAAATGCTTTAATTAGTTTAATTTTTGGAAACTTCCAATTTAATCCAATTCTATAAATATAACAAAGCTTACTCGTGGATTCTTTATATGTATATGTATATATATTGCAAAATGTGGATTTTTATAAACTTTAATTTACGATTGGCCCGAGTTAAGAATTAGTCGATCAAAAGAAACCGAGTTCTGCAAAATGTTGGCCATTAAAATGACACACAGGTATGTTTGTATAATGTAAGACTGTATATATACTGACGGAACAAAATTTAAAGTTTTGGTTTGAAACAAAATATTACTGAAGCGTTTTAAAAAGATTGGATTTCGGTTTCATTTTGATTTCTAAATCTTATTCATTGATTTAAAAAAATCGTTTTTAAAATACTATATAATATTTTCCAGGATCGCAAAAATTTGCGAATGTGACTATTAATAATTATTTAATGTTAAAGCTGAGTTAAAAAAATGTTTTCCAAACTTTCTATCATAATCTTACTGGAGATCAGATGGAAATCAGATCGATTTCTTCGATCGTCATATCATATTATCGACTGGCATTCAAACTAAGAATTTGCGATTTTAAAAATGTTCTTCCAAGCAAAGCTGGACATGTGGTGTTCCTAGCTATTACAATACTTTATTTGTTTGTTTTCATTAAAGTCACTCATAACCTTCATTTTATCGCCATAACAATCCGCATTTTGAATTTCAAAATGTCTAAACGTTCTTATTCAGTGCTTATCGTGTTAACCTGACAATTCCACTGGAAAAGGTTGAGGTTGAAAGTATAAAATTTGAATACACTTTTTATGTAATTCAATACAAGCTTTATAGATTTATAGACTTCAAAAGTCATAGCCGGCCAACCGGCTGAGAATTTAAAGCTTTAAACTCTAGCTTACTAGAAAAAAAGGATTTTTTTGTTATAAGAGTTATCCAGACAGCTTTAAAACTAATAACACTAGACCCTAAATCGACTCGCGTGGTGAATCTGACCCAGAATATATAAACCTTTCGAATCGGAAATGTCTTCCTCACTGCGTTGCAAACTTCTGATGTAATATATTATATTCTCTGGAAAGTTATAAAAATAATTTTACTTCAGTATCGAGTGGAAAAACTTTTTAGTAAGACCAATTTTAAAATAAGCATTCTGAAAATAGTATAAGTCCAAGCTATTCCTAAGCAAGAGCTTTATTTTCAAAAAATGTTTACACGAGAAGCTTACAATTTTTTTTTACCTTTGCACAATCAAAAAAACTCTACAGATTAATTCAGTAGGATACATTCATGTCGCCGGATTTTCTTTCTACATATTTCCTAATTTTTTTACACCCACAAAAACTGTTTCCTCTATTGTCTTATTTTCAAAAAAAAATGTATTGATAGTCTAGCGGGTGGCATAGTTCGTCTTTCTATTTGCAGATACATTTTTATTGAGAAATGGTTTTTGTGACTTACTAATTTAAAAATAAGCAATAATCGACATTCAATTTATGTTTGCTTGCAAAAAAAGGCATGTGTATTAGCATTAGTATGTGTTTCATAATTATCCGTCCGACTATTGAACTACAATTTTATTGAAAAGGTATCAAAATGTTCAGATGATTCCGCTATCGATGGTTAACTATTTTCATAAATCCATAGCACAATTGGTTTAAAACTCTTAAGCATTAAGACTACCTTTAAAAAACTTAATTAAAAAATCAATTTAAAAAAGAGACAAACAAATAGATTTTATAAAGACTTGAAAGTCTACACAAACAATTTTATTAATTAAGAAGTTCTTTAAATGTCTATCATGCAATAAGAATGAAAAAAGTTCTCAAAACTTTAAAATTAAATCCAAATATGTAGCTGTTTTTTTGTGTTTTGTAAATGTGTTTACAACTTCTGGACTAAGAATAAAAATAATTTCCTAATCGACAGTAACATGATGTTTTGCAAATGTTTAGAGGCACTTCATTCATATTCCTTGATTTTCTTTTTGTTTCATCCATATACACATACTAACTTACATACTTAAGAAATCGTCTACCAACAACAGCATCAATAATCACACAAAAATATTTATTTTTCAACAAAAACTCTGGCCAACAACTACAACTACTACGCAAACCGGCAACTCAACTACTTTCAACGCAAATAACTCAACTCAATTGCCTCTTCAATTGTTTCTCTATATATATATGTGTATATCTTCCTCTTTCTACATGTGTATCTCTCTATCTCTCTCTGTTACTTTAACTATCTAAAAAAAAACCAAAAAAAAAAAAAACAAATTTATATTAATTAAATATCAACATGGCGAATACAACAACGACGACAATTGCACGAGCCAATTACCTATACAACAACAAAAAACCAATCGTTCATACTCATAATCGCTCTTCCCAAAATTCACTTTTACCAACAACAACGAACAATGTATTAATTAATTACCGATAAATACTTATACGACGAACTGATAAATAACCCTCAAACTTCAAATAACTTTCATTCTGTTCACCCTCGTTTTCATGCTAATCCAACAAAAATTAAAATTAAAAAAAAAAAAAAATTGTTACTAACGTGTCCCCATTACGAAAACAAAAACTCCACCTGAGATAACAACGATAAAAAATGAACACTAATCATGAATTCACTGATTAAAAAAAAAACATAAACCTAAATGGCCTTCATATTAAAAAAAACTACTAAAAATTCGTATTGCTATTATTTTTAACCGCATTACCCAACTACACTCCGTCTCTCTGTCGAACTCGCACACACAGATAAGAGTAATATTCCTTTATTGGTTACCTTGCATATTGCGCATGCAAAGACCCGGACAGGTTGGCTACGAATGTCCGCCGCCGCCCTCCTCGTCGAGTTCATCTAATTCTGGCGAGAAAAAGCAACAGATTCAAAACGTTGAGCTCAAGGAGAGGTAATCAAAGACAGTCCCAATCTAGTATTTGTAGGACTTGATGCTCCCCAACCGTGTAGTTACTTAGATGCTTCTAAAAAATGTCTCCATTCCAATTCGAAAACAGATCCTCGAAGTCTCTGCTGGCCAACGTACTCGATATAGACGATGATTTCCGATGCAATCATCGATGTGCGAGCGCCACTTTGCCTCACCAGCCGACATATTACAGGACGATGTACAGGTACGAGTTTCTAATGGCATTTACCAAAAACAATGTGGTCAGCGTAGTGACGAAGCGCTCCACGAAATGAAAATCTGATGTTATGGTCGGAACGAGTGGTACCCCGATCGTAGAACAAGTTTCATCTAACCAGAGTACATCCAAAATTTAAGAAGATTAATCGGTTTAACAGCTGTGAAAAAGAATATTAAAATAATACAGCTGTTAGCAAAATGTACTTTTGCGGAAAATATGCTTCGAATGACTTTTCATTTTTTATAATCCCTTGCTCCGTTCAAAAGTTAAAAAAAAAACAGATTTTTGTGTTTCTTTAATTGATTTTAAAATATATTGTCCAAAAATGATTTTACATTCGATTTAACTAAAACACTTCAATTTCACAAAGTTTCATTATTCATAAGAAACTTAAACATTTTCCGGTAAATTAACAAATAAGAAAATTAAAAAAATGTAATATTTTTTTTAATGTAATTATTTTTCGTCACAAAATTTGGTATGTTGAATCTTAAAACACGTTAAGAGGACTTTTTGTTTGATTATTATTATATGTAAAATCCACTGACGTCACTAGATAGAAACTCAAAACTGCTTTAAAAGAAAACAAAAGAAATGGTTGTGGAAAAACATTGAGTGTCCTTCGGCCTAATTTATTAAAGGTGTTATTAAAAAGACTATTTTTTCTGGATCGCTACTCAATGTACGCTATTTAAAATATATATAAAACATTACAAACAGGCAAGGGGATGACGGCAGCGTGGGACCAGTGGGACCAGCTGGTCCAGTCGTCGATGGGCGCCTGCATGAAGCCATTTCCCACACCTGTCTGACGTCCTCTGCGGAATATGAGCTGGCGTTGATCCTTAAAGAGCTACGTTGGATAACCGAACAGGTGCGTTTTCTGCTAATTACTTTCGATAATTACGAGCTAAGGTTACTTAAGTGAGATTCCCGTTCCTTGGCCTCAAATATGTAAATTATTCAAAATTTTTTGGAAAATAAAAATTATTTGTTTTTATTTAATTATTAAGTTTAAAAAAAAATATTAAAATATTTTTAGCTTTTAATCTAAGTTATCAAATAGGCTTTGAGTTTAAAGTAGCGTTTTAAAACGTTTCACCAACAAAAAATAGATGTTCCTGCCCGACCTCATATATCTTGAGAGCTACAATAAATAACCAAAAGTTTTTCTATAGTATAATAATATATCAAACAAAAATAATGTTTATTCACTAAACAATTGAAAAAAAAATCTAACAATTAATGATTCGTTTTCATGCATTTCAAAGTAATTTGTTCGTGTTTTTCCAGCTGAAAAAAGAGGATGAGACAAGCGACATAACACGAGATTGGAAGTTCGCTGCCATGGTCGTCGATCGTTTGTGCCTTATTATTTTCACTTTATTTACAATTATTGCAACACTTGCTGTATTGTTCTCAGCCCCACATTTCATTGTAAGTGTGTGTAAGAGTTTCCAATTTCTAGATAGCTAGTAACGCTTTTGCATTGCAGTTCCCGTAAACGGAAATGTGTGGCAAGGAAAATATTAGCGAAAAGTGACAGACCACAGAAGTTGGTGGTTTTTTGTGAAAGCCAATCAAAATTTTAGGAACATACAAACAAAAAAAAAATTAATTCAACCCGAACCTAAGCTTCTCAAACTGAAATACTTTGACCGTCAAAGAGTTTTGCTATTTAACGTTTTTATATTTTTAAAGATGTGTCTGATGGTTATAAAATATTATAATGAATTGAGATAGTAACGTATGTACGTATGTGAATGCATTTTGTATAAACAATAAAGTCGGGATAACACAATAACTGTCTGGGCATAAATGTACGTTGCCGTGTACATTGAATTCGCCCGTGAGATACAAAGCAGAGGTTTCTTAATCGCGGAGCGCTCGTAGATGCAATCCACCTCCCTCTAAAATGATCGAGGAGCGCCAAACACATTCAAAATCAACCGAATCGAGAACGCAGCTTAAGGATATACATACATATATGTATACAGCTTCACACCATTATTAAAAAAAACTAGTACTTAAATAGTCTGTATGTCACGTTCGAGAAATTTTAAATTATTGCTTAACTACTTCGGTTTCACATTGCATTGTATAATTTCCTTCCTGTAGTTTTATATACTTTCCCATGCTATTCAATTTTGATGATCAAGAAAGTGTATACAAAATGTGTTGCTATGATATAAAAAAGATGAGCAATACGTAATCGAATCCAAAGAAATTCAAAGCGAACGAAAACAAAAGTTGATAGTTGAAAATTGTTGCCGGTAAGAAAATACACTGCGACACATGAATGTCATTAATCTGAAATGATCGCACAATAAGAAATTCATAAATACCTACAGACCGTCAAAACAAAAACACAGTTAAACACAACAACAGGTCACAGTTGTGAGAAAAAAATACTATTGAACACAAAAAAATAATTGCTAAATTTATAAAATTGCACTCTGCAACTAACCGAAAATACGCAAACACGAATCTTCTTATTCAGAAACAGAAACTGAAACAGAAACAGATACACACTGATTGCATTTTAAGAAGATATGCAGTGCAGATATATTAGGCACAGCGCACAGAGGAATGAGAAATATTTGCTAGCCATTAGACGGAAAAATAGATGCCAATAGCTCTCACACATATTTCGATAAGTCTTTCCAGCTGGTTCGTCAATGGTTGAACGCTGCGTTAAAATTAACTGGTGCTAGTTGGCGCCTAAATTAGAGTAGTTATCTTGTTTTTCTTTTCTGTTTTTTTTGGAGCCCAACCAGCTCCAATAAATTTTAAAACATGAAATTGGCTATCGTAAAATATCAGCGCCTGTTGCATGTGCTTTGAAGATATTTGTAGCGCTTGTGCCTCAATCAGTCAGTCTTTTTCAACCAGCTGAATAATCATACAGTTGGACATTAAGGGATGAACATTTTAGCTAGCAAAGATGTTTTTCTGTCTGAGTACTGGACTTAAAAGCGAACGAGCATACCTTATCTAAAAAATGCTAACATTAATTGGAAAAGACATAAGCTAAAATTGTATGATAATGTTAAACACAAGTATAAAGTTAACTATTTTTAAATGAAAACAAACAATTGAGTGTCAAAAGCAACGAAAGCCGATTATAAAGAGCGTTAAAAAAGAAATTTCAAAAGAGTATAGTTTTCAGAGAGAAAGGATCGCAGATATTCATAAATACGAGCAAAAATATATCACTACAGTCAAACTTCCATAGCTCAACCTTCCCTAACTCAAAGTCTCTATAAGTCGAACTAGTTTTATTGGAAACAGAAACAAAGAGCATAGACACGCGTCAATCCAATTCTAAAAAATAAAATCTCCATAACTCAAGTTTTTTTTTTGGTGACAGCTGGCGGTTCGTGTTATCGAAGTTCGACTGTATCTTTGAACTCCCAAAACAAAAAAGTGCAAGTTAGAATACAAGTTAGATTTAACACATTTTTAAACTAAAATTAAAACAACAGCAAAAAGTTAACAGAAAATTAATGAGAACCGTAAAAAACTAGATTAAAAAAGTATGTAAGACCGAAACTGGAAACAATAAAATGTTTACATTTTAGCTAGTGCACATTGGGTCGACTTGAAACATTTGGAACATGGTATATATTTTAAATTAAAGGTAAACTCATGGATACTGTCAACAAAATTCTGGTACAAAACACTTGTTTACAAAACAAATATCTTTATAATTTTTAAAATAACACAGTTGCAATACCTAAAAAGACTAAAAAATGTTGGGGCATTTTTGTTACGGAATTTTTAGTTAAAGTTAAGCAAATGCTTTATGCATATTTCATGCTATCTCTAGGCCGATCGATGTGATAAGTCTTTTCCTGCTTTCGTATGGATCTTAACGGAGTACTCAAACTTAACGAAATTATTTTAATGTCGGTTACGAAGAGCCAATACCTTATAAAAATTCAGATACTTGTCCTTCCGAATTCTTCAGATATTTGGTACTTTGGTAATTACATTTCTTCGTGATTGCTTGCGAATAAAATAATTTGAATATTTCTTATTATTTTAAAAAGCATTTTTTTTCTATAGCTATAATAACCCCTATATATTTTAATCGCACAAAAAAAGGAGCACTTCAAAAAGTTCTTATTCAGAAGGAACAGCAAAAGACTCCAAGTTTGCGGTTAACTTTGACTTTAATCAATTTACAATATACAAAAAAACTTCAGAGTTTCGTTGCCTGATTCTTGAGATATTATTTACTACAACGTCAAAGCATAAAAAAGCAGTTGCAAACGATCAACTAAAGAGTTTCGACTGATTATAAATAATTATCTGTATTTAATCTCATTATTTAAAACTACGGTGTGTGTCTCAGCTGCCCGTGATGCTGCCAGACTTATTTTTTGGTTCGTGTTTTTGCTGTAATATTCCCATTAACGAGTGATGCCATATAGGCTTACTAAGACAGATGCCGATAGAGGGCGCTGGCTCGAGTGATGCAATATGAGCTTACTAAGACAAATTCCGACAGAGGGCGCTGGCTTAAGTCATGCAATATGAAAATACCGATAAAGGCTCGAGAGATGCCTTATGGGACTTACTAATACAGATACCGATAGAGGGCGTTGGATTCAAATGAAGTTCTAAGTTGCCATATCAGGTGAAATTTAAACTGTGGCCGCCAAAATATAAATTCGGCAGTATGAGTTTCCGCAGTACTCTAGCGAAAAGTTACAGATAGCATCGGATCTTAAGTATCATGACGCTAAAAGTTTGTGGATTAGGTCATTAACATTTTTATTTATACTGTTTGAGCATTTCTTTGTAAGGTTTTTACAATTTCTTGAAATTTAAATACATTTAAAGCTGCGGTCCTACTTTTGTTTTAATTCATCTTTATTTACCAATGAACCTAATTTTATTTCAAAAACGTTTGATATGGGTTTCGTTTTTATCGGAAATTGTTAAAAATTCTTTAAAGTTCACTTCTAAAAATACAATAGTAAATCATTTTAAGCAAATTTGGGCAAAATTAATCATTAATCCTTGTTCAACTGCACTTTGTATTGGAATAAAAATGTTTTCTATATCGTTCATTTTTTTTTTTTTGAAAATTAAACAAAATTTTGTTTTTCTTTTAATATGTTTTAATAATATTTAATTATTTTTTTTGTCAATTGTTTTATTTTACACGCCCCACAAGGTGGTCCTTGTTTTCGTGTATGCGTAGGAGTGTTCAAAGATCCCAAAAATTCGGGTAATAAGTGCAGGACAGGTAAAACCTTGTCACAGATCCGCTGGGAAAATATTTAAAATTTATTTTTGTGAATTTTTTAAAACTTAGTTTATAGTATTAGCATCATAAAAATAAAATTTCGAAAGGAGCTTTGAAACAAGGTTTGATTGATATTTCCATAAGCTAAAAAACTACTATTTTCATTACCGCAGCTGTACTTCTAGGCAACTGTGGTTAATTCTTCAGGAAGCAGGCAGTGAAAACAGGTACAATGTTGGGTATTTTCTGGTCAGAGATTGAGCAAATCTAGAGCAGATTCGCGGAGACTGTCTTTGTTTCTTTTGTTTGTCATCGACGTGGATCAGTTATTGCAAATCGTACAATCTATCCTAAAACAAAAGTTAAATAAATTAGTTATTTAATGCCGACGAAACCCTTAAAAGTGTTAGTTTTTTAAATGTTGTCATGATGAGACTATGATCGGATAAAAATTACTACAATACAAGAGAGATTTTAATTCGCTTATTTTTGATCTAAGCTAAAGTCGGTTTTCCGATACTCATTTGTTCTTTTGATAAAAATGAATCATTTTTTTGGGTACATGTTTTGTGCGATGATCTTGCGTTTTTAATATTTTTGGAAGCTGGCTTGTTTGCTTAGCATTTGTATTGCCATTGCGTTGCCTCACTGGCGGCCAATGTGTCATGCATTCGCTGGTAATTGGATAGCATGAGCATGGGCATGGGCTAACTCGGACTGTAGCGACGCTCCTCTGGCTCTTCTGCTGCTGAGCCAAGTAAGTAAGTGTGTGACAATGTGGCAAATTTAGCTTCTGAACCTTCCCCGCTCTTTGTTATTATACTTGCAGAATGACGACGTTTACCCTCAGCGTCGGCATCGGTATTATTCTCGGTGTGATCTTGGATGCAAGGAACCGGTTAATGCCGGCTTGGCTGCCCGAACTCGGTCAATAAACTAACCGCAAATATGTTGATTCCAAAAGTTAAAGACAGCAACAGACCCATCGGCGTTTTGACTTCACAAACATGTTGCATGCTGCAGTTGTGGATATGCATAAATGCCTGGCGAAAATGGAGTGTGTCGGTTGCTTTTGGTATGCTGTCGCTTGCAGTGTGAAAATATTACGACTGATGGAGGAATGCATATCACATATCGTGGAGGATGAGCTGCGTACATTTCCTCGATAAAGATAGCGACATCAGAGAGAAAACCATTGCAAAGGTATTACAATTTTTTAATTAACGTGTCTAATCAATTTAATTACTTAATTTTATTAAACCTGTGTAAGGATTGAAAGGAAGAACCGAAAATTCTCGGAAGACTTAAAAAGACTAATACTAGATTTTAATACACGTGGTGGGCAAAAGTAATATTTTTTTTTTTACTTGAACTCTATTTAACAGAGCAATAAAGTTGTATAAGCTGTTATTTAAAATATGAAAATATTACAAAATGTTATTAATTTTTTTTACTATTTTTGATTTTATTAAATATCTGAAATTTTTATTTTAGGTTTAAACTATATTTTACTAAAGTAACATGCATTTTACATCAAATCGGAACTATTTGAAATCTAACATTTTCCACGTTCATTTAAAATTGTAATATTAAATCATGCATTTTAATATGCATTGTATTTAATAATATGACTTCATATTTTATTTTAATATTTAATTTAAAATTTTAAATTCAATAGTCAGATAATTATTTTGGTTATTCCATTTTTTCATTAGTGTATATATAATACATTGTGATAGATATTATATATTTGTTGAGAAAAATTCTTACTTCAAACTATTTTCTAGCCCTCCATCTACCTTATTTCAAATAATACCAGATCATTGTTTAAAGTAAACTGGACGAGCTCATTTTAAAAGGTCGTGAAGTATTTCCATTAAAATCCGTTCAAGTCATGCAATGCACCAGGTCGAGATCTCAATTGATTTTTTTGTGAAGGCACACTAATTATATTAAGTAACAATTATTTTTGTTTGTTATTAAATTTACATATACAATATGTCACTTTTGATTGCATTATTTCCATACTGATTAAATCAAAGCTTTATAGCAGCATGTTATCATTAATGACGTTGAGTTTTATAATTTCTAATCAAAAAAAAAAATGTAAAAGCTGGCAAATATGAAGTGTCATTGTTAATGACGTTACATTGAGATAACAATTATTAAATTCCAAGGTCTATATTATGTCAACTATCAAATCTCATATAATATTCTTTGATTGCAATTATCTTATTGTTTCCCAATCACAGGCTGAAAATTTGAACATAGAACGGTATTGGCCATTAATGCCAACAAAAAATTGCCAGTAATTATACCTCAATTAATGGGCAAAACGTTTGAAGGTGTGACTCAACCGTCGCCAAAAAAATATTAGCAATCATGGTTCCCCAGAACGAAAACTGTTTGACTATGGGTTTTGAGTGACGCATTGTGTGCAAAGTTTTCCCCCTACAATTTACAGTTGTAAATATTTAAAGTCTGAGAATTTCGGATTGTGACCATTTTTTATGAAGCGCAATTTAGCCTATCTTGATTTTATGACGGTAATTAGTTTATCGCTCTGCTTTTTTGGGAAGTTCCTTCCCCAAAGTTGAAGTAGTCTAATCTAATGGCTAATATTTACCCAACCAATTTGAAAGGGCGCGACTAACTATGCGGTTATTCATTCGCAATTTAATTATTTTGTTGAGATGTGGGTATATCTGTTGATAATTTTTGAAAATCGAAATCGCGAAGCTTCTAAAGTTTCAGCCACAATGTATATGTATAATGTATAAGAGTGATGAAATACATTAAAAAAATTTAAATCAATATAAAAATATTTAGGTATGGCTATGTTACAAGATTGGGTCAAAAATTAAAAAATTAATATCAAAGAATTAATATAAAGTTATTGTGCAAATTTAGGATTATTTAAAATATATATAAAAAAAGAAGATTTCATCCTTTATATGTAAAAAAAAAAAAGGCGTTTGCTTGGCGAATTGCCTAAGCTATATTCTAGTTTGTCTTATTTAATTTGTTTTTCGCAAGCAATGAAATGAATTTCATTTTTTTTCAATTTTTGTATGCTCATACTTCAGCTAATTTAAATTTGTTGGTAGGTCTGGGTTCTGTTATCAAAGGCCGGTGAAAATAATACAAATCGAAGTTCAACAAGTTGTTTGTTGTCGTTGTCTTCGTTTTGATAACAATGGTTATGCGATTCACGAATGACCTACACATGATAGCCACCTGGTTAAAAGTTTTTGGCGGTTAATCAATAATTAGTAAGTAACGCATACACTCGTAAAAACTTTCCCCCAATCAGGTGGAATAATATTTTGGTA